TTTTGTTCAATCTGTTCAAGTCTATTGGAGATATTGGAGTTATGAAGATATTATAAGATATTGGAGTTATGAAGACTTGCTATAGCTGAGTTAAGAGACAAAGGACTCACTTCTATTTCAAATTTGCACTTATTCTGGTTTTGAGGCCCCTGAGGATTAAAAATCCTTTGTGACCCTTTCCAGACTTATATGACCTTGTTGAAACTTTGTACTAGCAACTTCACTCTAACAGCAATTGTTAAACTAAGTAAGATTTTTATTGAACTGGACTGTCTGTAGTGACATCTGGTTGTGTTCAATCAGTTGCTTTTAATTGTCCCTATTATTGGGTCGATTTAAGTAGGTATCAAATACTTTTTCACACAGCAGCAATTGTGCTGGATAATTTGGTGAATTATATAAATACGTTTTTTTTTTTTTTTTTAAGTGTGATCTGTCCCATTTGATGTTAGATTTGTCAGAAGATTTGAAAAGATTTAGTGTGAAAATGTTCAATATGAGAAAATCAGAACAAAATGCTCCACCCCCCCCACCCCCCAAAAAAAACCTCTATATTTCAGTTTCAGTTGAGAGAATTACACTATGTTCTAATCAAATGTGGGAGATAAGATCTGTAATCATATCCTATGAAAATATGCCATAGTTATATTCTAATATGAACCCTCTGTTTCAAGAGATCCAAGAGGGGATCTCTTATACAAGCAAGATTAGACATTTTAGCCAGATAACAGAGTTGAGCTCCTGACGTTTATTGCTGAATTAGAATCCATGAAGATTCTCAAATGTGAGGAGTTTCCAAGAGTGAGGGTCTCAGTCATGCCAACAGATGAGGTGCGAATTTTGACTCCGCATTCTTCTGAAAGTATCATGATATTGCTATGAATTGTCTCTACTTTTTATTGTCCCCCAATAAAAAGAGAAAGTGAGGGTGGACTTTGGGGAGTAAAACAAGTAGGAGGTTTGTGTTATTTTTTCATGATAGCTTTAGCTTCCATTGGCCTGTAGGGTTGGAGGAGAACATCTCCGTAGGAATAGGAACAAGCAGTCGGAGTTACAAGAGAAGAGGTCCTTTCTTCTTCATTAAAGCAGTACAGTCTCACAAACATCTGTCAATGGTGTGGTTCACTGGGGCGAGATGAATGGATCCTGAGGTCACTTCCCTTCAGGAGCAAATGGCAGAGATGAGGTGGGACATGGGGGAGGGTTTCTATGTTATGCGAAGAGGGGAAGAAGGAGAGGAGGAGGGTGCAGAAGCAGTGGGTGGGGGGATTCCTCCTGGATGGAAGAGGAGAACTGGAATTCACTGTCAGAACGAAGGACTATAATGACCAGGCAGCTGCTGCAGAAGTAAAGCTCATGAACAAAAATTCACTGTTTGCTTAGATGGATTTTTTTCCCTTTGGAAATTATATTACTACTTCATTGTTTTTTTTAAGGAGTTGAGTAACCATTGTGGATAAGAGGACTGTGGATTTTGAAGAGATTGGCGGGAAGGTATGCAGTCTTGCAGTTTGTCTCGAGGCTTTCTCTTTCCTATATGTGGTGTTACTAAGATGGACTTCAAGAAATGGTCAGGGAATCATACGCTTGTTCCACTTTTCTCTGCAGTCTCTCTGTTTTGACTCGTAGAAAATGAACTAGCTGTAGGCAGAACTTAGCTTACTCTTAACACTTTAGAATACAGTGAATACACCTAAAGGCTGTGTTATTGTGGTAGTTTGGTGGAAGTGTCAGTATGATGCTATTGGAGTAAGCACAACATTTTTGCACATTATTCAGTCCTGCGATATTATTTGACGATACTAACTTGGTGTTATGTCCAGACCGAACCCTAGACGTGGTCGTAACACTTGGCGGGTCAACACTTAATTTTAGCATCACTTAAAGGCTTGTAATAGTGGCGGGGTATTACAATTTGGAAATCATTTAAGTGTGCCGTCGTCAGTCTTTTGTGTTTAATGTATTTATGCAGATTAGGTAAGGAAACAAAGGGAGGATTTTAATGGAGAAAGGCAGCTTGTCATGTCAGATGGGAAGGAACTTTGAGATCCCCCCCCCCCCCATGGCCCAAGAGTATGAATTTTGCCAGAAGAGCAATTGGGCAAAAAGTCAACCGAAATGTCATGATTACCAAGTCAGTGTGCAGGACACAGGCATCAAAAGCATGGGAGGACATGGCTAGCTGGCCATTTATGCTGGGTCACAGGTCCTTTGGCCATCTGGACATAAGCCAATGAAAAAAATACCCAAGACCCCCAGGATTATAAATAGTATAATTTAATTTTGCTTTGTTTCATCATATTTTCATGCTTGTCTATGATTTGGCTAGTTTGGCAAGGGATACTCTTTAAAATCCATAATGACATGTGGTAAGATCAAGAGAAGAAAGATTTACTGCCCATTACACTAATATTAAGATGTAAAAATGTATCAGGATTAAAAAAATGATATGCATGAATAAGTCCTAATTTGGTAATATCAATAGCAGTATTTATACTGTTCTTCAGATATACTACTCAGGAGTGCTGTGAAAGGGTCATTTTTCTACATTTTGATTCCCTCTGAAACATTATTACTAAGTGTGTGCAGTGAGATTTTGGTAACACTAGTTAAATCCCTTCATAATGGATTATAATGGTCGGTATACACTTTGAATTGCATTATGAAGGTATCTATAGTGCATTGTAGATGACAGCTTCATAAAACATTCATAATGCAAAAAAACATGGCTATATTGTGTTGTGCCTTTTTATAAATATTGATATCCATATTTATAATACTTTATAAATGCAGTAGAATATAATATGAATGTTGTCATAGACTTTCATAGACATGGTATTCATGGAAAGTATTACTGAAAGTTTTTTAAAAAGAGGCTGCACTGCATGAAATTTCATTGATATTTTCTAATGATATTTTATGTAATATCATGCTCATTTAAACTTTTTTTAATTTCTTTTTTACTAATGTGGCCAGTCTGCTCTTGATAGCACCAGCAATCATTTGCAAATATATTTTTGAATGTCACACTAGTCATCCTATTTAAATTTAATGAAATCACAAAACAGCATGGAGTGTAGTATGTGCCTTTGGGATAATTAAAAGATGCAAATTTCTGATAGTCTTTGAGATTAACTTTACTGGGAAGTTTATTCTGAAGAGAAATTAAATTAGTTTTGTTGCAAGGGGAAGTGCTATTCTACAAAGGACACTCCAGGGACTGAACATACTTTATATATATATTTTAATAGTATATATTTTTTGGTATTACGGATTGTTACAACGTAACAATCCATAATTATTCATTTCAATGACGCAAGTCAAAAATAGGAACTGGATATTCTTACAAATTAGTGATATGCATGCATATGGCACTATGATGTAAGCATTTGTGTTTACAGTTGCATATTTTTAGGACGTGTCCATACACACAGCCCAAAAGGACTGCTAAGCAAAAGCAGCAAGCTGCTTACGCCTATTAAACCTCTTTGTAGGAATCACAGGGTCTGTCTGCCATCCAACTTTAAACACCAACAGCATGGAGCAGAACTGACCATGTGCCAATCCTGAAATAAACATTCAAGGTAAAAAGCAAGGATGCAAAAAAAGATACCTCATTTATTCTTTTGGCTTCAGCTTAAAAGGCAAAACGAATCAGTTCCCTAATCCAATGAAGAAATGACGTCCAGTCACATTTTACATTGTTTTAAAGAGTTCCATTGATTACTGTGCATTTTGTGTTTTTATGTTAATATTTTATGATGTTGAATTCTTAGCAAGATTATTGCTACTCTCAGTAGGTCTTTGCTGGGAAAGCTGGGTTGTGATTGAGATGTTTTTTTTTCACCATGCTTTTATACATTGTGTATGATTGTAGTTTATACTGTAGCTATTGGGTTGTGACACCCAGGCCAGGGTTTGCCTAGCTATCAGTTGATGCCACCTAGGGTCTTGGTCATTTACTTAGTGAGCCCTTTGTCTTTCAAACCCAGGCACTGTGAATGAGATATACTGGGCCTTCTGTTCTAACTCAGGTACCAGGTCTTCGGAAAACAGCTTTATGATGGAACGGCAGAAGACCAAATTCTGGGAGGGTAGAAATGTATACGATAATATTGTAAAATAGCCATATTTAACTACTGGTATCCATAAACATGTTTATAAGTACTGTACATTACATCTGAAATAATAAAGGGTATTTTCAATGTGGTCGATTTAATGTGCTACTTGGATCTCACAGAAAGTTCCATGTACAGATATCAGGTTTTTAAGTCCCCTAGTAGCTAATTCTGTTAATGAGATTTATGCTTAGAAAAGATGTAGGTAATATATTTAGCAAATGAAGGAAATTATCTGACCAGACTAAATGCAGCCTACATTTGGTGCTGGGCAAAAAGTGATTTGGTTTACAAGGTATGGAACTAATGTGCCTGAGAAACTCACAGTTAGTAATTATATATATATATATCCAATATATATACCGGTACTATATTTTTATATCACAAATAAGAATTTTTTCTGTTCTTCAAAAAGTTACTGATATCTTGTTGGCTGTCAAGAAGAACTTCACTTTAGTTCCCAAACCTCTACTCAGAAGCACCTCAGCCATTTGTCTGTTAATTATAATTCATAACCAGCTCACTTAATTAATTCACTTAATTAGTTAAATAACTTGATGAGTTGATTGATCAGTCAAACATGGTATGCTAATGGTTGAGTTCACAAATATATGGGTATGTTTTATGGTTACTGCAAACACTAGGGTGACTTCAACAGAGGTTTTGAAATGGCTGGTACTATATGCACAGTACTCTAGGAGTCTAGGTATGTAACACAGTAGCAGTAGTATATTGTGTATTAGAGTATGTGTATTTGAGTTTCTTGTGGTCTGCTCTTAAAGCAGCCTTTTCCTTAGCATAAACACAGCACAGTGAAGAGCTGATTGCTGTATTGCTTGTAGTGCTGTTCCTCTTTTAGTAACTTTCTGGTTTTCTTTACAGATAATGGGGAATTCGTGCGCAGGGCAGCTGAAGTCCATGCGCTTTGAAGAGGCTCTGCACAGCTCCATCAAGGCCTCCCTGCGCTCCAGCAGCGTCGCCCCTCAGTCTGTCTTCTCACAGCTCTACCTGCACCATGAGGCCTACCCCGGACATCTGCAAGGTAGGCCGCTATACTGAGCATTTTTATTAACCCTGTAACAACAACATTCAGGGTGTGGCTCTGCAGGTCAGGATGTTGTCCCTGTATTCGGAAGCTTGCTGGTTCAGTTGGGCTGACTGATTTCGCAGTTGTGCCCCTGAGTCAGGCTCTTAACCTCCGATTACTCCAGCGACTGGCTGACCCTGACTTCTCAATTGTAACACACTTTGGATAAATAAATAAAACGTAAATGTACTAGGTAAAGGAAGATTCTCTGGTTAATGCCTGAGACTGTAAGATCGTAAAGCCTATGTTGATTGCCATAGACAGGGAGGTCCACTTCCTGTACGCCGAGAGGACGGGCCGGCGACTGGCTAACAGCCAGGCCACCAACAGCACAGAAAGTGAGGAGGACCTGGAGGAGGAGGAGGAGGAGGGGGCGTCTGGCACCAGCAGCCCCCCAGCAGCTCATCACCAGAGGCCTGTACCGAGTGGCACCTGCCTTACCGATGGTACGTCGCACGTCCTGTGGTTCGCTGGATCCACGCCATCATGTGACTTTCCTAAGCTGGCTGTACATATGTTTACAGATCTAGAATTAACCACTAATGCCGTGACAGAGGAGGAAGAGTTTTGTGCTAATTTTATACACTCAGTACCACTATATCTACTCTAAATATCTTCTTGTTAAAACAAACAGCCCACACTAGTGAACAGTGAACTGAACACAAATGGCACACCGACAGGGCCAAGAGGATTAGTTACTGTTTGGGTAAGCATCAGAACGGCTATGGTCCTTGATCTAAGCGATTTTGAATGTGATGTGATTTTTGGTGGTTCCAGCATCTCAGAAACAGTCGCCCTCCTGGGATTTTCACACACCAGGGTGTTACAGGGAATAGTGTGATAAGCAGAAAAAAGAAAAACAAAATCATCCAGTCATCAGCAGTTCTGTGGTTGAAAACACCTTGCTATTGAGGTCACAGGAGAGTGGCCAGACTCTTTAATGCTAGCAGGAAGCCCACAAGTGCAAGAATTACAGCTCAGTTCAACAGTGGTGAGCAGGAAGGTACTGAATACATGACCCAGCTACATTTAAAGTGGTTTGGGAGACTACTCAGTGATACTATGTAGCCTTGTAGGCCTCTGAGTGTATATATGCTAATACCATTGTAACTCACTCTCAGCCAATATGCAAATGAATTTAAATTGCAATCTATCAAACATAATGTCCTGAAATAGCAAATATGACCATTTTTTTCATTTTAGGAAAATCTTGCTGGGCACCTACATTTCAGGAAAAGCATGTCTAAATGCCAATGAGTTAATGATGCAAAAGTATATATACACAAAAGTTAAATCAAATAAAGTACATCATCAATGGGACAGATATGTTCCATAAGTCATAAACATAAACATTTTTTGCAATTGCACCTATATCTTCAGGGTTTTGTCAAGCTGGAAAAGACTTGAGGCTGGTCTCCATGGAGACAGAGCACATTGAGGTTCCTCCTGGGTTCGAGCTGGTTGGTGCGAAGACACCCGGCTTTCCCGAGCACCTGCTAGTCTGTGCAGTCGACAAGCGCTTCCTGCCGGACGACAACGGAAAAAATGCACTTTTAGGTCAGTGTGTGGCCATGTAGTTCCCCTTAGTTTGTACGCTCATTGAATCCGTGATTTTGTACACTGTGTTCTTTCATAGCAGTAACTGGAACACATCCCCTCTTCTGCTCATATTTTCAGTTAATGTTTCAAGCTTAAATTAGGTTTGTTGAATAATCTTTCAGAGTTTTTGTCTTTGACCCATTTTTTAGGATATTACAAATTATATATAATTTTGATCAATTATTCCTCATATCACACCAGGTGCCTCCTAAAAATAAGAATATGTATTTCTACAGGCAAATTTTATTTTTTCCCGCAGGATTTTCCGGGCACTGTGTCGGTTGTGGAGAAAAGGGTTTCCGGTATTTCACCGAGTTTTCGAACCACATCAACCTGAAGCTGGTCACCCAGCCCAAAAAGCAGAAGCACTTGAAGTACTACCTGGTGAAGAATTCCCAGGGGGGGCTCTGTAAGGGTCCCCCCATCTGCTGGAAAGGTGAAACAGGAGCCTGTTTATTCTGAGGCTTGGGCCTGTATCGGGAAGCGAAATTTGTAAGATAACTAGATAACTTGCCGGATTTAAGGTACCCTAATTAAATGGGCTTTATCTTCATTCTATTACATTTAGCCCAGACTACTTTAAATCCAACAAGTTATCCAGCTAAGCAAGAAACCCAACTTTTTGATATACTGTAGCCCCCTGGTTTATGAGCAATAAAAACCAGTACAGGCTGCCATCCATCATTCATCTTAGCATGGACCATGCAGCATTAATCACGCCGTCACACTGTGAAACCTAGTATCTGATTGGTTTTCAGTTTGTGCCAATGCGCTAATCTGTTTATGGCAGTGTTTCCCAACCCAGNCCCCCCCCCACAACTCCACACTTTTGCTCCCTCCCAGCTCCCAGCCAATCAAGAATTGGCTGAATACCTGGTTCAGATGTGTTTTGTGAGCTGGGAGAGAATAAAAATGTGAATTGTCTGGGGATCTTTGGGGAGTGAATTGGGACACACTATCTTACAGTATTATTATTGAGCCATATTCAAGTCTCTGCCTTGTGGAGTTTGCATTTTCTCCCCGTATCATCAGGGGGCTTCCTTCGGGAACTCCTGTCTCCCCCCACAGTCCAAAAACATCCTGAGCTGAATTGCCCGTAGGTGTTCATGTGTGAGTGAATGGTGCGTCAGTGAGCCCTGTGATGGGTTGGCGCCCCATCCTAGGTTGTTCCCTGCCTTGCACCCATAGCCTCTGTGATAGGCTCTGGACCCTTCGTGACCCTCAATAGGACAAGCAGCTTGAGAAAATGGACGGATGGTATTAAGTCCGTCATCCCTCAGGTCTGCATTTCGAAACACATTAGAGCTCTTAATTGCATAACCGTACATGCAACATTTAACAGCATCTGAAAATGCTGCCCCATGGTTGTGATTGTATATATAATAAAGACTGTATTGCCTGTGCTTTTTATTCCAGATTGTAAAATGAGGCAGTCTCCATCATCGAAGCCCAGCTTGTGTGCATCCCTGACCAAGAAGGAGATGGGAACCAGCAACACTCATGGATTTTCACTGTTTTCTCAGTCAGGTGGTCTACAAAAAGCCATTCTTAATTAAAGTCACTCAGAAACTGTGGAAGATCAGTTTTAATCTGCTTTGAAGGACTTTCCATAATGAAAGGAAAAAAAAACATATTCAAAGGTTGAACTCCCTTATATTGAATCACATTTTTAAAGATCAGACGCTGATGTACTTCTGTATAGCTGTCACACGGAAGGCAGGTGAGTCATTCCTAGTAACACCCCCCTCCCCCACACACAGATTCCCCTGCAAGCCGCTCCTCTTCCAGCATCTCTGCCAGCATGTTGGGGTGTCAGGAACCAGCCAGAGGGAGCAGGAAGACCAAGGCCCAGACACTGACCTCCCCCCAGGGGGTGAAGACCTCACCAACAGATTCAAGTAACCTTTCCACCCACCAACATACACATTTAAATATTCTATTATACGTGTATAACACATTTCCTTCATAAATTTATTCAGCATGGTTATTTATTTGTTTGATCATGGTCACTCTATGGATAACATTTCTGGCATGCAGCCCCGGGGATATGGGTTGGAGTCCCACCTCAACTCTGTGTGTGTGAAGTTTGCACGTTCTTCTGGGGATTGCAGCCCTTACGCAGTGCAAAGCCATGCTGTTAGATAAATGCTGTTGCTGCCCTGTGCTGCCTGGGACAGGCTCCAGGACACCCTGTAACCTTGACTAGGATAAGCGGTTATAAGATGGATAGATAATATTCTGGCTACATGGTGTGTGTTGTTGCTAGGCAACTGTGCTTGTGACAGTAGTGTATCCATTTCGGTTTTTTATTGAAGTTGTACAGGGAGGGAATGGTTAGTCAAAGCATTCGGACACTGATATGGACTTTTGATGTATGTTATGGGATAACATCATAGACTCATTGTAGACTGTAGGCATTTACTAAAAAAAAAAACATATCTAACCTAACCAGCATAGCCACTATAAGGTACAGCAGCATTGCTTCGTCTCTTAAAATGAAGCTGAGCACTGTATCTGTATCTGTATATATGGTAACAATGGAGACCATGTAAGGAACCAAAGGGTAAGCATATAAAATGATGGACACTAGTGTAAATCTGACTATATTATTGTACATATAATCAGTATCAGTGTAAACTCTACAATGTAAAAAAATGCTTAACAGAATATTTGCATTACAAATAACTTATTTACTCAGTTACTACTCAAGAACAAATCACGATCTAATGTATTTCCTCTCTGAAATACATGAACCGCCATAAGTGATTAATGATGACCGAAGATGGGATCAGTACATAACTAACACTTAGTTACTGGTTAGTAATGTACCGCAACTCAGACCAGTGGGAGTGTGGCTCAGGTAAATGTTTAACCCACTTTAGTACTCTGCAAAGGCAATGTTCTGAAAAGTCATTATCAATGCATGTGCATCAGTTAATTTATTGGCATCCCTGGGAACACAATGTAACTGAAGCATGTAAATTGTACATCTTTGAGTTGATTGGAGTGAATTGGAACCTTCAAGCTGTAATCCATGACTTCATTATTAACTGGGGGACAAAATGAGGTGACACAGAGGCCAAATTACCTTAGTCATCCATCAACATGGGAAAGATAAGAGAACATACAAACCAAATGAGGGAGAAGTGTGTTGACCTTCATAAATCAGGGAATGAGTATTAAAAAATAGCTACTCACCTTAAAAAAAAAAGCTACTCACCATTTCTACTGTTTGGGCAATAATAAAAAAGTGGACAACAACTGGAACTGTGACAAACCTGCCTGGAAGAGGACCCAAGTTTATTTTGCCCCCACGTACAGTGAGGAGGATCCTGAGAGAAAAAAAAACCCCAATCTTGGGGTTACTACTTCTCCAAAACCACTATACTGGCAAAGGGGGCTGTACTTAGCATTAAACGCTCGGGTGCCAATAATTGTGCCACATGTGTTTTTGTTGAAAATAAGCATTTCTTGATGAAGGATTTGTTTTTCTTTGAATACATTTTTGAATACATTTATTTAAATTAAAGTTTTTTTCAGTGTGAGATGAAGCTACTTCACCAAAAGGTGGATTTTTTCTAACCCTTTTTACAAATATTCACAAGGGGTGCCAATAATTGTGGAGGGCGTTGTATATAGTGATGGTGCTGCACAGTTTCTCCTGCTCTGTAAATATTTTTTTGACCACCGGGGCTGGCGGTGTGCTTCACTAATCAGTGGTGTTTATTAAACTCCCCATGCTCATTTTGTTTGTCGTTCACTTCAGCTCCTTCACCCATTACCTCTGCCCCCCCCAAGAAACGCCACCGCAGCTGGTGCTCTGACTCCCCCCCTGGTCACCCCACTGCTGCCCCTGCTCCCGCCATTCAGCCAGCAAGCCAGGCCTCAGGTCAGAGACGGCCTGAAGAGGGCCTCCTTACCTGTCCCATAATGGCACCTATAATAACCGGCTATTAGTAATGTTTATATATATATAGAGTGATGCTTTCAGTACACAAAGTAATATTTTGTGCTTAATACAACATTTAGTTTATGAAGCTGCTATTGGTGTATAGAAAAAGTAAAACTTTTAGAGTTCCACTTTATGGTTCATATGTTTCTATTGTAACAAACTGTTTGCACTCTTTGGTAATGTAATCATTTGAGCTCTTGTTGGGGTATACCAGCTATTGTTGCATATTCAATTCATTTATTTTTATAAGGCACCTTTCACAACACAGTTGCCCCAAGGCACTTGGCAAGCATGTGTGCCAATGCAATATTACTACTTAAAAACCAAATGGTTCCATGATACAGGGGGAAATGGAAAGAAGACAATTGAGCATTTAGCATCATGAACACATGAAGATGTCATTGGGGTATCACAGAAAAAATCATTGGGTTATAACATGAAGTCATCATTGGATTATCACATAAAGATGTCATTGGGTTATCAAATGAAGACGTCATTGGGCTATCGAGACATCAGTGAGTTAACACATGAAGCCATCACATTGGAGCATGCCTAACTCAGATGTATTTTCTGTTTGTGGCTCCAAAGTTGCTTCATCTGCAAGCCTCACACTGCGGAGCCACTTTCCACGGGTCCTGAAGCCCCAGCCCGTTCCCTTGGAGGAGACGGTTATTGTCCCTGACAACTTGCTGAACAACATGGGAGTCCGACCTGTTATACTTACAGGTATAACCTGAAACGACACTTTACACTCTGAATTCAGGGCCTAAAAAATCATAATCCTATCATGATTAACTACTTGCTTATGGTTAAAACTCGCTGATATACACTTACCTATATCTAAAAAATACTCATCACAATGCTATGATGTTACTTGATCACTGAACGATTTTAGAGTCTTATTGAACAGTTTTATTGTCAGAAATATGAGGGATTTTATAATGTAGAACATCTAATACTCACATGATTATCAAATGATAAAGGCCATAGCATATTCAGTATGAGGTGCCAAGTGTCAAATGCTCATTTTCATGTACAAAATACATTCTGTGCCACAAAAAGCATTATTTAATGATGAAATCAAGTAATGCCTTGCTGCCTTCCACGAAAATCAAAAAGACTTCACTTTCTTCCTCGTAGAATCACTGGTGTCATGAACTACTGATGCAGCTACAGTTACTCGACTAACTAATTAGAACCATAACAAGAGCAATAACAAGGCAGCTGACTGGTGACTGTCCTGTCCTGGCTGTTCCCCTGAAAACTGCGGACCGGGTCCAGTAACTGTACCTCCATCAACAGTTCGCAACACCAGCGATTCTATGAGGATCTGCAGACAGTCTGTGACTCATTATGTTAATCCATTCATATTCATCATTTTATTGTTGCATATTACAAGTAGGCTACCCAGTGTGTCAGATCTGAACTATCGCGGACAGTGTTATTCAGGTGAAAACGGCATGGTAACATAGACGACCATTGGAGAGAATCAGCTGTGAGATCTTTAATTGGCTTAGCTAAAAATATAAAAAATGTAATGGAAAAATAGTGACACTAATGGGTGCATACTAAAGTAGAACTATGGGCCCAGGAGTTATTTGTATTTTTATTACATTTAAATGCAAGTTTAACGTAATTACATGTGTCTGTAAAATCAAAGCTGGTGCCCCACCTTCTGGTGATTGAAAGGTTCTAGCCCCTCCCCCCACGGGCGCACACACTCTGCATACCTCTCCTGACTCAGCCAAAGACCAAAGGCATTCACAAAATGTGCACAAAATTACTTTCTTTCATTCACGAAATACATTCCAACCACAAAATTACTTTCTTCTGTCCATGAAATGCAAAGTGCTGATATCAATTCTGTGCACAAATTGCAACATTCCTTTTGATTTCTGTGCACACAAAAAAGTGAAGTAATTTTGCTTTTGTTGACAGAAAGGAGCAAGGCATTATTTGATTTCGTCTTTAAATAATGCTTTTTGTGGCACAATGTATTTTGTACACGAAAATGAGCGCTTGACACTTGGCGCCCCATAATTCAGAAGCATTATTTGGTATGGGTTATTACATTTATGTGGTTTGTGTAGTAATTACTTGAAGATAAATATATGATGAGATAAAATTAGATACTTTATTCATCCCAGGGGATAAATTTTTTATAATTAAATTCTCCTGTCATACTTGCTCCTGATAGTGAGGAAACAATTTGTTGGGGGATTTGAATGGATATGAGAGAGTAATTATTGGTAGTATAGGCGGAGCTTAGTGGTGGTGATGTCAAAAGGGGGCAGGGCTTATATGGTGTTCCTTCACGATGAAGGGCGAAGCGTGACCCACCTTAAAACTATTAAAACAATTTGCACCTAACGTTCGCGATAAGGGGGTGTTAGGGATGAAGGGAGGGTTGGTGAACTAGCTCACGAAGGAATTCCATATAACCCCTGCCCCTTATGACATCACCAGCCGCTAAGCTCCGCCTACACTACAAATAATTGCTCTCTAATATGGGTTTAACAAAATATGTCGAGATCAGTGAAACAAAACAAAACAAACAAAAAACAGCCCTTGCACTATGGGGATAAAAACAAGAATAGAATGACTTTATTGGGTAATAGAAGCAATGCGACTGTGTCAGGAATCAAGGTCTGTGCAAAGGGAATGTGCCCCACACCCGGCTATATCACTGCAATGACATACAGACCTCTGGTTTCAGGACATGGCACTTTACCTTACTTCTGCGGCAATGTAGAGGACATCGTGGTGAGCCCCCTGCTGCTTAGCATCTGTAAGGGCAGCCGACTGGGCAGGGAGATACTGGGCACCCCAAGCAGACCATCGCTCAGCGTGGAAGCCATGATCTTGTTGACACTGCAGTACCTCGTACGGCTAAGTAAGACTCCGGAAATCCTCCTCAGCTGGAGTGGCATCTTCTCTGTGTGATTTGGTTTCCATGTAAATATAAATCTTGCAGCAGGGAAACAGGTAGAGCCTGTTTTTGTCATCAGTCAACACCACTTATGGAAATTTGATAAATGATTTAGGAACACTGCAGTCAAGTATGTTTACAGCAGTACTTTTAATCTAATTGTCTTTTTAATGCATGGGGAAATTATGGAATGTATCTCATACAGTATATGGCAATGCATGTATTTCACTTTCAATTGTCCTTCATGTGACATCATGTATTTAGATAATTTAATAACACTGGCCAAGTAAAATGGACTGTCAACAGTAGGTTCACAATACATGTTCTCATCTTTGGTTTCTTCTTTGTAGGTCCTGACCAAATCCCTCTACGTGAGGAATTTGAGCAGATTACTCTGAAGGCCATGCTTAACAGACTCTCTGGGGACAATGGCCCAGATGTTATTACGTCCACCCAGCTCTCGTGGCTGGCCTGCCTGGCCGCCAGCGTCTCTCGAGACTCCGTTCAGATCCTGGTCACCCACAATTCTCTTGGGGAAGGCATATCCGAATTCCTGCACTCCGCGTGTCAGGGCTCACGTCACCAGCGACTTCCTGACTACGTGATGATCATCTGTTCCTCCAGAATCCGTGGAAATGAATTCTGTGTCTTGGTCCTGGGTCAGTTATGCCTCTCTACAGCATGTCATGGCTTTGGAGAGAAGCAGTTGAAGCATTTTAAAAAAGAAACACACACATTTTATAGCTGTCCACCGTATTTTGCTAACAAGTAAAACCTTAACATTCTTTTCTACCTTTTTTTATGCTGGTTTGGGAAACCAAGTCCAAATCATTAATTTAATGTATCATAATATAAATTTTAGAGTAATAATGTATGTGTAGAAGAGATACATAAATAATTGTTGATTATAAGGACGTGTTCTTTTCAGGTAAACACCAATCCAGAGCCCTGGCAGAGGGCATGTTGTCTGCAAATGAGTTTCTGAAACAGATCAGTTACGAGCTCATCACGGGAAGGATCGGTATTCTGGCCTCACATTTCCAAACAACCTCTTTAGGTAAAGCAGAATATACATTACTTTACCATGATCTTTTCTTACATAGTCAAATGTGCATCAGAGTGATCTACGATGTAAAGGGGGGTGTATGGCTCGAGTTAGGATGCCATCCCTGTGATCTGAAGGTGGTTGGTTTGAATCCTGGGACAGACAGAGTTACATTATTATGGGGTCCTTAAGCTCCAAGTGCTGAGGGGATTGTTTGACAAAAAAAAAAAACCTTGAATAAAAACATAAAAATATTCTAGGAGGAAAGCTAGGTATGGTAATTGACAGTGTATCTAGATACAACCTAGATGTGAGTGGCATTGGCTAGTGTATGCTTTCATTGCAGAAGGCCAGCTGGACAGGCAGCTTGCAACATTTCAGAGTAGATGGGGGGACCAGGTGACCCAGCCATTCCAAGGGGACATTCAGGATGGAGTTCATTCCCATCAGGCGGCCACAGTGATGCCCGCCCCCCATCCAGGTGAGAGCCATGCTTCCTCAGGGTTATTTCTGTTCTTATCTGCCATGTTTTCTACGTGTGAGGTCCGCGGCTTGATTTAATCATTTATTATACCTACTGTAATGCATTTGGCAAGAAATTAAGTAATATAAAAATGTAAGATTAGTGTCAAACTGCAGTATATGTAAAATTTAAATATTGAGCAAGCTATAGCAATTTTTAAATGAAGTAAAACCTCAGCTCTTTGTACAATTTCTGAAATATGATTTATGTTTTGGGGGGGGGGTGCCTTGGTTAGCACTGTTGCCTCACACTGCTGGGGCCTGGGTTTGAGTCTCCAGCAGCGTTCTGTGTGTGGAGTTTGCATGATCTCCCTGTGTCGTTATGAAGTTTCCTCTGGATACTCTGGTTCCCCCCCCCTCATAGACCAAAAAGATGCTGAGGGTAATTGGGGTTGCCAGATTGTGTGTTGGTGTGGGTGTGCTCTACGATGGGTTTCCCTGCTCTGCGCTCATAGGCCCTGAACCCCCTGTGACCCTGAAATTGGTTGCAGAGGGTGGATGGATTTATATTTTATGTATTTATTTTGAGGACTAATAAAGCTACATGTTGGTGTATTTCCCATGATGCATTGCCAGGCCTGGAAAGTAAGGCATTCCGGATGTACCCGGTCCAACTGGATGTTGCCCGTCGCCTGCTCTCGCTGGTCTGCTCCATCGCTGATTCCGGAAGCCAGAGTCTGGACCTGGGCCGCTTCTCTCAGGTGGACTTCCTCGTTCTGCTCCCTCCATCCAAAGTGCTGGCGCACCAAACTGCACGCCGAATCAGACGATCAGGTGGGACGGTCTTCACTCGAGAGTGAGAAGAGTGTTGCAGATGAGGCCTGGAAGCTATCACAGAAACCATGCTAGTCTATCACAGGGCACACATGCAATAGGTGACGGCAGTTAGCCTAGAAGCCAACGTGTAGCTGGCTGAGTTAGAGCTCTGGGCTTATGATCGGAAAGTCCCAGCATCAGCAGAGTGATTTTATTGTTGGGCCCTTAACCTCAATTGCTCCAGGGAACGACAGACCCTTACATGTGGCTGTGGATAGAAGCATTTGCTAAATGAACACTTTGGGACTGTAGAAGAGTACCTGCAGAAAACTGGCACAACAGAGGCAGAACATGCTCAGCAGACACAGAGCAGGGAAGAGCTTTAAACCCCCAACCCAGGATGTGTGAATCAGCAGTGCTGCACACTCAGCCACCCTCCACTTATGTTTTATGTTAATAAAAATAAGCTGTATGTCTCCCCCGTATGACTCTGTTCAGGAAAAGCGGCTGGAAAATGACCAGATGGACATCTCCAAATCAGTAAATGAAAAAGGTTTCATGACCATGATTAATATAACTTGTTATTTTTTAGGTGTCCTGCTTGATCTTGGCATAGAGGAATCCTTTTCTGACCATCAGATACTGGATAAGTACATTGTCCGTTTGGATAATGATGCACATGAAAAGATTGAGTCCTTCATGAGGAAGGTGAAAGAAAATCCCAACATACTTTTTGTTCTCATCCATGACGATGCAGATGTGGACTTGACTAAGTAAGTATTCACTTTCACCAGATATCTCATTAACAATCACGTACTGTCATTATCCAAGCTACTTAAAAATCCACTGTGAAATGGTCGGTGACATAAAAGGACACTAGGAGTTGCAGAGATTGATGGGAAACATTGCTTAGTACTACAAAGGGTTGGCTCAATGCCCTGTGTTGTTTCCTGTCTTGTGCCTGTAGCCTCTGGGATAGTGTTCAGGCTCCCCATGACTCTGAATAGGACAAGTGGTTATAGAAAATGGATGGATGGATGGATGGATGCATGGATGGATGGATGGACGGACGGACGTTGCTTAGTTATCTGTGATCTTGTGCATTTGCTATTATATCAGTAGAAGAATAATGACAAGCAGTCTAAAATGGCTCGTCTGACGCACTGGAGGGGTGCAAAGCCAGTAAAGATCAAAAAAGGACATTTCTAAGGAAGTGCATCCATTATATGTTACTAGATTCATAGTGATTAAGGGTTTGGGTCCTTTGCAGTTCAGCAGGCTTCAGTCTTTCAGTGCATGTATTTATTCTTCCTGAAATAACAGCAGAATAACAAGAATGCTCTCAGCAAAGCAGGGAAAAATGTGATCTAACAAAGTGCTCCACAACACAGTCCTCAGGGAGACCCAGACTGTCCATAGTTTTGCTTCCTCCCAGTTCCCAGGACACCTGTACCAGATGTTTGGTGTTCTTGATTGGTTGGGAGTTTAAGAGAACAAAAATCTAACAAATGCTCTTCTTCTTGTAATTGTTGTGTACTATCGTCGTGATTTTGAGTACGGAGTCCTTCCCTACTTCCCTACAGTCTTCATCAATCACTTTGTATCATAGATTGAAGCTTGTGTCCTGTTTTTCCACCTCCTTTCAGTGTCCATACAGGGTCGGGATGCCAAGGTGAACTGCAGGGCCTAGCTGATCAAATCATCAACTGTTCAGAGGTTCTGAGTTCAGTCAATCTGCTAGTGCTGCAGGTCAGCTGTTTCCCTGATGCACTGCAGCCCCATGTCATTCTGGACAATGAGGTCTCCTGGTCCTCTGTAGACATAGTGAGTTGTCCATTCTCTCTTATCGTATTGCATTGACAATCTTCATTTTCTTATGTTTAATAATAATAATAATAATAATAATAATAATAATAATAATAATGGCACTTTTATTTATCCCTGTGGGGAAATTATTTTTTTGCTTACACCAAATTGCTGTCCACGACATACACAGGCAGTTATGTAGGTGAAAGCAAGCTTAGCGGCTTGGCATTGATACTCTTTACCAGTTATGTTAGTCACTTATTGCAGTGATACTGCTTCAATCCTTTGTGTTTGTTATTACATTGATACTCTTCATTCCTTATTGCTCCTTAGTACATTGATGCTCTTCATTTCTTTATATTTGTTATTGATTCTCTTAAGTTTGTCAATTAAAAAAGCACAACCAAGTTTGGTGCTGCGATGGGTTGGCACCTCATCCTGGGTTACCCCCCCGCCTTGTGCCCATAGCTTCCTGGATAGGCCCCAGACCCCTATGACACTGTAATGGACAAGAGGGTATAAAGAATGGATGAATGAATAGACAACTAACTATGTTGTTCCACTAGGGGTCTCCTCAAGAAGACCAAGTCTACTTTGGTCTGAACAGCTACAGGTGCTCTTTGGGATGGGGCGTGGCCTGTCCCATCCTCCGCTGTGACGAGGCCTTTGAGAAGATGGCTAGCACCCTTCTGGAGAAGTGTGTGGTCTTTCTTGTAGTAATATGCCTCGTTGTCCAGTAATTCAGAGTTGATAAGATAAAATAGTCTGGGTGTAATTATATCATGGATATCTTAAAATGGGTATGTTTCAGCGCATTATGTTATAACGCCATATTATGTAACTTGATAAAATGTAACAAATTTTCATCACATAATGCAATGTTATTACGCAATGCATTGTCACACCCCGTGTAACAACACATTATGTAATAACACTGCATTATGTAATAACTCCTATAAAATGTTAGAAATCTGTTGACTACATTATAATTTTATATTGCAAAATTACCCTATTATTATCATCATAATCATCATCATCATTATCATTATCATCATTCAGTTTGCCACATTCTGTCAAGTTATTACAAAATACATTGTTACAGGGTATCATTATATTATGGATATCTTAGAATGGATATCATCATATCATGGATCTCTCCCAATTTATTTGAACTGAATTATAAGAAAGCCTCTTAACACCGACCATGCTCTCTCCCAGCCACCCACGTCTGCACAGCATGGTCGTCCGCAGCTACCTGCTGATCCAGCAGTACGTCGACGCCATGGTGTCGCTGGTGGCTGTCAGCTCTCTGCGGGACCGCGTGACCCCGGAGACGCTGGGCATCATGGATGACCTCATCGACACCCCGGGCCGCAGTGAGGGTGGGCAGGGGCACATGGTGCTGATCCGCGTGCCCTCCCCGCAGCTGGCCGTGCGAGCGCGCGAGCGGCTGGAGGAGGCGCGAGACAAGCTGGGCCTGCAGCTTCGCTTCGAGGTGTTGCTGGGAAGCCCTGACGCCGAGCTTTGTGTCACGCCTCATTTCCTGTCCCGTCTGAAAGTGAGTTTTAGAGAGAATCTGCACCCCCAGTGCATATTAACGTTTGTGCAGCAGACTTTTTAGTCCAAAGCGAACCAGAGAACCAGATCAGCCAGTTCCTGGAGCAACTGGAGGAGCTGATGCAGGGTCGTAGCCAGGATTTTTTTAATTCAGAGGTCAGAAGTGTTAGCCTTTCCTAGGTGTGCCCTGTAATGGATCATGGTTATTAGAGTTGCTGAAAAATGCTGAAGACTTGACCTCAGTGTCCTCAATGGTAGGTACCGGCATGAGTTGGTAGTAGCAATAATGTTGAAAAATTCACAGTCATTGAAGTCCAAGTACGTATTTCCCTTATTAAGTTGCACAAATGACAGGTAACTCGGGATGGGTAAGAACGGGGTTTATGGGTGGTGTGGTAGTGCTGACGGGGATTTGTCGTGCTGTGACCCAGGCTTGGCGGGGCTGTGAGAATGAGGACTGGGTCCCGCACACATACGAGGACCTGCAAGGGCTACCCTGCATCCTCATCCACGCCGGGAAAGACCCCCTGGGAGAGACATTCCCAAGGTAACATGGAGCTTCTATGATCTAGGTGCTGATATCGCCACTTCGGGGGTGCTGCAGAGCACCAAGGTTACATTCAGTGATAAGTGAAATGTTAACAGGACTGATGCCTCTTAGCCTGTTTGGTGATTTTCCAACACACAGCAGAAACGCACAGAAAAAAAACTCTCATTTAAGTGCCTTTGAAAGATTGGGTATCCTCATTGTTAATCTAACCAGTTTCTTAATTAATCAGGCTTGATCTAATAGTGAATGAATAGCATAAACACTGAAACAAATAAGCAAGAGGATGATTATCCAAAGTGTTGTATAAATCCAGGGCATTGTAGTAATAACGTATGCGAGATAATCATATGATGCCACCGGAGCACTGACCCCAGCTGAAAGCTGATTGGCCCCCTTCTCTGTCACTCACCAATTCAAAATATACCATTGGCAAATGATAGGATTTACCCCTCCCATACCCCACATCTTAAAAAAAATCCTAGAATTCCCCCCGCCTTAGAAAGTTAAGTAACAATACATGTGCATTTGTGTTTTTGCAGCTCTCTAAAGTACTGCGACCTGCGGCTAATCGACTCAAGCTGCCTGACTCACTCGGCGTTAGAGCGGGAGGTGGGCCTTGCCTGCTCCTACGTGTCCCCAGGAGTCACAGTGGGGCCACTCAGGGAGGTCATGCTGGACAATGACCTACAGATGGAGCTAGAGAGGCCACCAAGTAACAGCAGCTCTGTGACAGGAAACTCCAGTGAGTGCAGAATCTGGCACCAAACACCCACTGTGTCAGAAACCTGGACCTTGTACAGCTGAACCACTGAATCAGCTAATGAGTCATGGAGCCTGAATAAAGTTCATGGGCAGAGCGCTTGCTGAGCTCCCAGATGCACCCAAACATCACACATACATCAGTCACTCTATGGCCCACTCGCTGTGAGGCTCTGGATGGCTGCAGAGCCGTTATTACACTTACATATTTGTTAGACATTTTTTCCCAAAGCGGCATACAATTTAGAGACTGGGGTCAGACAGTTCCTAGAGCAACTGGAGTTAAGGGCAGCACTTGAGGGCCCAACTGTGAAATCAGCCAGCTAACACCAGGATCGGAACCAGTGATGTTCCAATCACTGGTACTGCACCTCAAGCTGCTGAGCCACATACCAGCCGTTATTCTTCTGCAGAGTCTTTGTATATTTCCTCTGACTCACTGGTACTCTGTTTCACAAGATATTTCATTTAGACACAATCAGCACCACACTGTTTCACAGTAAACCAAGTGAATACCGTTTACATGCTCAAAGCCAGTCTCTGGAAACAATGGGGGCTGGAGGTGAAATCACTCTGCCTACCCTATGACTTGATCTGATCACTGGCACAGCGTCCTAACTCACTGAGTCACATGGTGGCCCCAGGAATAATTTTTCATCCCGTCCTTTTCATAGGCTCCACCACGGACAATGGAGTGAGCTCCTCTGGGCTCCCTGACTCCATTGTCATGGGAGGGGGCTCAGCCCAGAGGGATAAGCATGAGTGCGATTCCCGCTTGGCTGGGCACGCCCTTGCCCCCCAGTCCTCCTGCTCCCAGTGGTCCCAGCCGAGCCGCACCTCCCTCGCCTCACTGGGTCCAGTTCCCTGCACTCTCATCCTGTCCTGCGCTGCCTACAGCCTCCTCGCCGGGACATCGGGGCTCCTGCCCCCTGCTGACGGGACCTGGAACAGTCCCACCCATCTTCCCTTCCGCCAGAACCTCCAGGGGACCGAGCGGTCCGTAAGCTTCCGGTTGCGTGCTAGTCCCCCTCAGAACCTTAGCGATTACAGCAGCCAATCGGGCCAGAAGGCTCAGGAACATCGCCACCCCCGGAGCCTGCTGCTAACCGGGCCCCCACAGGTATGAAGGGCTCCCCCTACTGTGTAAAACATGCAGCACATGCTTTATTGCTTTGCCTATTTTTTATGTGACCATTTTTTTCAGAGCAGAATTTAAGAATTTTAAAACATTACAATTATTCATACATTATGTACAATAATGAATGGACATGAACTTATGTCCTGTGTTATATGCCATTTCTGCGTTTTATGCAGGGATTGACATACCTGGAACGCAAGTACACATTCACCTTTAAAAGCGATAAGTGCCGCAATCGACAGCGTGAATGCATATCTATTTTATGTGAATATACTAATTCGTACTTGATTTGCGGTATAAAGGTTAAATTGCTAGATAATTTCTTGTGATATCGGCTCAGATGCACATTAAATACAGTAGATATGCATTTACGCTGTTACAACAATCGATTGCTGCATGTATCGTTTTTAAAGGTGAATGCAAATTTGCGTACCAGGTATATCAATCCCTGCTTAAACGTTTTTTTCATTAAAGTGATGTTATTATTAGGGCTCATGTCATGACCCTTGGATATTTTTAGGGGGATTTAAGTCACAGTATGTGTGTTTCTTTCTTGTTATGTATATGCTTTATTCTCTGTGTACGTGTTTTAATCTGTGTTGCTATACGGCTTAAAGTGTCCAAATACTTTTTAATATTTTACTTAGAGATAGTAGAACAAATTAATTTCTTATAGTTTAGTGGAATCTTGTGCACCAACATGAAGCAGTTAGGGCAATTTCTGTATTTCTGGCAATATAAGAGTTGTGAAACAAAAACAGCATTATTTGTAAATGCCGTACTTTAAATGTGAAAGTACTCATACAGACGGTGTCTCATTACATCACAAGGGTGTCTCATTACAGCCTCCTTCCATAAGGGGGCAGTGTGACGTGTCAGGCTGGTTCTAATGATAGATTAGCTTAACAGCTGCATGCAGTGATGTAATGGTGATGTTCCAGGTGGGGAAAACAGGTGCCTACCTGCAGTTCCTCCGCATTCTGTCCCACATGCTGATTCGTCTGCTGGAGGTGGATGTCTATGATGAGCCAGAGCTAGAGTCAGGTTTGTGAAAGCAACCCTCATACATGCGTACCAACTCACCCATCATAACAATGGCTGTATGGCCAGATGAAATTAAGCTTCTCTAATGACACTCTGATAACCAGAAGGTCGTCTGATAACCACGTGTAATTGTCTTATAGAACTTCAAGACTCGGAAGTTGCACAGAACATCTATGAGAAGTGGCCAGATGTAAATGTTATCCAGAGTCTACCATTTGACTTATCTCCACGAGATCCCATGTTCCGTATGGCCAGTCCTCTGTATGGAAAAGTGTCCAAGGGCTCTCAACCAGGAAACCATGACGGTACACAGAAACGTAAGTCAGAGATGGCCTTCTGTAACCAGACATAAGTAAATGATTCCACAGTATTTGAAAGCGTACATGATAGAAAATGCATTTATTTATATATGCATGTGTCTCTGTACAGGACAGAAATTCGCTATCAGCCCAGAAGCATCTGTGAGGCGTGAGACTATATCAGTCATGCTGACCAGTTTTGCATCCCAGAATGCCTTTCACCACTGTGAACAGTGTCACCAGTACAGTGAGCGTGGAGCCATTGTTCCGGTGAGTTTCCCTGTATAAATGTTCATAGTTACTTGAATACAGTGTAATGAATTTAAATGCCTGTCATGTCCTTCAGGCAGAATGCATAAAAACAACAGATAACATTTTAAAAATTGAGGACGGTTTAACGAGGCAGAACAAATGAACTGACACTCATTATAAGAAATCTAGTGGCATGATCAGCACCCTTTTGCCTTAAATATCACTCACGGTGTGACTGGGACATTGTATGTGTTTCTGTGTGAATTAGTACCCAGATGATACCCTGCACACCTTCACATTCTGCTGCTCCATGCTGGGTGAGGAGGTCCAGCTGCACTTCATCATCCCCAAGGCAAAGGAAAAGTACTTCTTCTTCAGCCAGCAGGGCAAACACCTGCAAAGCATGAGGCTGCCTCTTATGTCAGACAAGGTGAGTTCTGCTTCTAGTACTGGGGCGGGGAGCCGGCACAGTCGGTGGCTGGAGACAGCTTCACTGTGTTCTTTGTATCCAGAGATACTGAGAATCGCAGTGTAGTGGTAGTAACAACAACAATAAAACTACTATTATTATGGAATAATACTACTAATACTTATCTAGTACAGCTTCACAGGCTATCACAGGCAATGTAAGAATAGAACAAAACAGAATAGAATAGAATAGAATAGAAACTATTACCATACAACCAGCTTGCTGTAAATTTTATTGCAATTCTGCAATTATGCTAAAATTGTTACAATTCTGGGAGGGATCTGAATATTTAGGTGTAAAGAGACAGGAATGCATATATACATAAATATGAATATACATGTTGGCATTTGCAAAGAAATAAATAAGCAGATAAATATGTGAGAGTGTGGAGTGGACAGAAATATGAATGAGCAGGGATTATAGTGCAGGAGTGTGTACTACTGCGTGTAACAAAAGACCCGTTTGAGCTGCAGTGAGGCTACATTGTCCAAAGACAGGACCTGAGTTTCAGCAACACCTTGGCTGTTCAGTGTCCTGATAACAGCCATCTGCTGCCTGGAAGCAGCTGCAGAAGGTTGTGAGGAATCTGAGACATTCTTGTTGACCTGTTTGGTTTTTTGGATGTAGCTGGAGTTGAGGGAGCAGAGCTCAGCGCCTGTAATCTTAGAGGAACTGGAAATAATGCACTCAAGTCTCAAGCTATTCTTGTTGTACTTGCCTCTATATTAGACTATAAAAGAGGAGCTTAAGATGCTTTTGATCATGGATATATATGGATCCTCATTAGAGATGTTTTTGGTCTCTGATCCTCCTTAAATGTGGTCTCCTTGTCCTTTCCTACATATGCGTTTTGTGTTAATGGGATCTTTGAAGTTCAGTGTAATCTTCAAATCAACAATGATCTTTTAGAAAGGCCATGTTGAGTATGAGGTTATTACTAATACACCAGGTGATGGCTCAATCCACTCCACATGATACTGTGAACAGAGAATAGAGGAGAACGACCTCCATTGCTGATATATTAGATATCAGATGCATGCACTGATGTTTCTTGGTTAGAGGATCCAGAAAATACGTGGAAGGGTTCACGTTCATGCCCATAAGGATGCTGAAGACTTTGAATGGACTAGGAAACATACCCATTGTACCAATAAAGATAAGAAGAATACTGCTTTTTATGCAACAGTGATCAGGATAAGTATTTGGAAGATGAATGCTGTTTTGATTTCGTCATTTGTATGATGTGAATTTAAAAGTTAATTTGTTACCACGGCTTTTCTTTCTTGGAATTAATTTAGGTAAGATAGTTGTTGTTCCTTTTTCCACATGATTTATTTCCATTACGTTTTATAGTGCGAGCTTTTAAGCATGATTTATTTGAGTTATTACTGCCTTATGCAAAGTCATCTCACAGAGAGACTGATGCCTTTGTTTGAACCAGGACCCCAACATGGTAAAGAGCCCGATCTTCACCCCCACCACTGGGCGTCATGAGCACGGCCTACTCAACATCTACCACGCCATGGAAGGCGCAGCCCACCTACACATCCTGGTGGTAAAGGATTGTGAGATGTCTGTCTACAGGAAGTACTGGCCCAACCATATTCTGCTGGTGTTGCCTGCTATGTTCAACAGCGCTGGAGTGGGTCAGTGCAAAGAGAAAACAAACTTCATCTTTTCTTTAACTGATGGCGAAAAAATAGCATCATCGAGGCATTTAGGTTCATATTGTCGGTAGAGCTCCTGTGAATAATCGAACTGAATTGTCTCTGTCAGAGCATAATAATGACGTGCTAAATGGTGACATTTCCTCAGAGGGAGAGATAAAGGAGAGATAAGTTCCGGAAGGATGCTCCTAACTCTACCGTAAAATGGGTTTGTGTTCCTCCTGTCACAGGGGCGGCCCGTTTTATGATCAAAGAGCTGTCGTACCATAACCTTGAGCTGGAGCGCAATCGGATGGAGGAGCAAGGAGTAAACAGGCAGGACATCTGGCCCTTCGTAGTCATGATGGATGATTCCTGCGTGCTGTGGAACTCCCACCCCCCACAGGATCTTAACGGGTACTGCAGTTTGCCTGCTATACTGAGGAGTGCAGATTGGGGGTAGCCGGGGGCAGGTTGCCGGTCAGGAGGTGGGGGGGGGGGGGATTGATCGGCTAGATTTATTACATTTAACCATTCCATTTTTCACAAGACAGGACAGGGCCCTTGTTTCGCCGTCTGAGGGCCCTGATTTTGCCAGCACCCTAAGCTGTAGCCAAGAATATCCCATGCATTAATCTGCCCCCAGAGGGCGCTACCACAACACACGTACAACAGCCACATTGTACTAAAAGATGGTGCAAGCCGTGAATGAAAGCTGACTTAAATGAATTACTCCATCACCTAGTGTAGACAGGGCTGTTTTTACTGACCTGTGAGATCATTAAAATGGAAGAAAAAATATGGTAAGCCTTTATGTTATGGTACGTTGTGGTATAAAAAGAATAATAAATATAATACAACTGCTATTTCCATAGTGGCACACAAAAATGAGCTTCTACAAATAAGAACAAGTCTCCTTTGGCACTTTTCATAGGACGTGAAAATAGTTATTTAAGAATGGCCTCTGCTGACTTGGTGAATAACAGCCCAGACCTGATCTAGTAGGATGGGTGTTAACCAGCTGGTTATCTGGAAATAAAATAAAATACATCATTCTCGAACCCCATTTCATTCCACTTTAAAAAACAAGGCCCTGTGTCTTCAGAGAAGAATCAGTAATAATTAAATCTAATTTAATCGCAGGTTCCTGTAAAATAATTGTAATTGTTTCAGAAATCCATAACATTAGACAAAAGAATTTTGTTGACTATTATTAAATTAGATAGATTT